TCAAGAAGAACTGTAACCAAATAGAAGGGGAAGGGAAGGGAAATATCAGGAGGAAAGTGCCACGCCATTACGACTATATAACACTTGGAAGGGGTCAGGATAAGGTTTTGGGATGGAACGGGGGAAAGGAATGGTACCCAACCAGATCGGAGTGTTATAGAGATTACACGACAAGGAGCGTGATAGAGATACCACTATCACGTACCTAACTATAGCGAGTACCATCAAAAGACGTCATAGATTGGCACAGAAGCTCTTGTTTATAACGCAGCGTGTCGATCTCCAGTGAGGGGTGGGGGAAAAAAACCACTGACAGAGGACTGGGATGGCAGAGCTATATATAGTAAGATGATGATGCCAGTCGTTGCTCACTTGTTATTTCTAGGCCCCGGGAGGCACCTATACTGCTGTTGCCACTTACCACCCAACCTCCCAATTATTTACACTACTCCACTGTTCTCTCCCTCGCTCTGGGAGATATACATCTCCAAGCATGATTGAATTGTTCTCTTTATCGGTGTGTGCGCCGCAACTGTGACGGTGTTATGGTCGTGGGAACGCGGGTCTCGTCCAAGTGAACTGCGACAATGATGACGGGCGTGGGGGGGGAGAAGGGTGTCGTCGTCTTGAAGCGACAAATCGTCATCGCCGTCGTCGGCAGTGTAATTTCGGCCGCCACCGTGGCATTAGGCGATGCTCTAACTTCGTAATTGCCACACACAGCATTAATAACCAATTGGCCACGGATGATCACAATAAATAATGGCAAGGGCGCCATTGTTATCTTCCACTTGCTACAGCAAAATTGGCTTCTAGTAAATTGAAGTAGTAGGTCCGGCCTGGCAGTCGCTGTGGACTATCTGGTAATGACTTCCTGTGGCTTTTAAGACTTCTCTTGGCGCTCCTCCACCGTCTGTTGTTTATTTTCTCTCGCGCGTTCTTCTCTTGTTTCCTTGGTTGTAGTTTCCAGGCTTTCAGACTTCTGCTCTTGTTACGTACATTTTCTTTCTTCTGGCTCTTGGCTATTGTGGCTTGGGCGAATTGTTTAATTGTGGCTTGGGCTCCTTTGGAGCTGGTGGCTGGTTCAAGTGTTGGTGACTGGCTGTGATGGTGACTGTGGTGTTGATGGTGAATGTGATGATAGTGACAAGCTGTAGTGTTGGTGATGGGGACTGTCTGAAGTTAGCAGTGACATTGCACAATGGTTTCTGTGGTGCTGGTGGCCCTGGAAACGTACAGAGGCGAGCACCCGATTTGATTTCACTGTGGTGTAGGCAAGTTTCCCGCGTATAACCACGCTCCACCAGCTTGTCGTAAAGAGCCACCTGGTTCGCACACATGCTACTAAGTACAGGAGAGAGATATTCCTTCCTGTTCCACTCAGACTGTGGTAGTAAATCCAGCCCCAGGAATGGCTGCTCTTGTATATACGTCCGGTGTCTGCACCTGGAGTGAGCAGTCTGTTCTTGCCGAGGACCTGCTCTAAAGAGAGAACTCAAAGCACTATTTTCAGCTTCTTTGCTGTGACATAGTGTTCGTGTCCTCTGCTTTCACATACTGTTTGTGTCCTCTGCTTTCACACTGTCTCCCAACTCTGCTCCTTCCATATCCACTACTGACCAAATACGCCACAATCCACATGGTCTCTATCAACACTTCGAGTCTCTTTCTCCTACATTTCTACCCTCAATTATCTTCACTCCCCCCCCCCACCACCCCCTCAACATATCCTTGCTCCGTTTCAAGTCGAACCATTCTATTCTAATCCTTCTTTCACATCTGGAACCTCTCACAAACCCAGTAGAACCCTTTCCTATCGACTTCCAAACCATAAGCCTGAATCTAGAACTGATCTACAACATCCCTTGATCCAAACAACGGGAATCCAAGCTGAATTCCAGATCCAACCTAACCCCATGGTTGAAGGCAGCTATTCTAATCCTTCTTTCACATCTGGAACCTCTCACAAACCCACTAGAACACTTTCCTACCGACTTCCAAACCATAAGCCTCAATCTAGAACTGATCTACAACATCCCTTGATCCAAACAACGAGAATCCAAACCGAATTCCAGATCCAACCTAACCCCATGGATGAAGGCAGCTATGATGGAAGGTACTGTGGAGACGGAGAACTTTAAATTTAATTTCTGACATACCAACTATGAGGGACTGATAAAAAAAGAGCAAACGAACCAAGTGACCGGAGTTTTAGACACTTGCCTCTGCATTATAGCAAGTGAAAAACTTCAGGAGCACCCGAGTGAATACACATTTCTAACACGTGCCAAATAGTGCGGATATATACCAGAAGGAAGGAATGCAAAATGCAGGTTAAATTAATGATTAAACTTTGGAGCGCGTGCCACTGAGATGGCAGATTCACACACATTTTATCCAAGGAAAAATACAAAGGACAAGTGAAAACGAGACAGACTGTACTTTACAATGCCCACGAGACTCCCAAGCGTCCGTGACAAGTGTACATTGATATAAAAAAAATAACACATACTGCATGGGGGAGGTAGAAACAACCTGAGTGATAAGAACCGAGTTGCTACTTATGGGGGACTTCAGTTGACCAGACCACACACTAGAAGTTGAAGGGACGACGACGTTTCGGTCCGTCCTGGACTATTCACAATCGACTTGAGAATGGTCCAGGACGGACCGAAACGTCGTCGTCCCTTCAACTTCTAGTGTGTGGTCTGGTCAACATACTTCAGCCACGCTATTGTGACTGCATACGGGGGCTTCAGCCAAACAAGAAACTCTGAAACAATGGATGTGCAGTGAGAACACGCAACTGAGATGAGTAGATGGTATAGAGAAATGGTTTTCGGTTAAAGCGGGGAAGAGAACCGGTCACTGGTAAACCACTTTTAGTCTCCCTAAGGCCAACTACTGACCTTCCCCTCATGGTGCAACCCACAACAGTTGCTTTACTCCCAAATACCTATTTCCTGCTAAGAGGGAATTCTCGCCCTACTCTTATCAAACTCTAAAACATTCGGCTGCTAACCAAACTGTGCCAACCATTCGATATAGTCGGGAAGGCGGGCTTAGGAGCTGAAGCTCGGGCCTGCAAGTTTATCAGGACAAGCACTGACCACCACCCTCTCATATCTCTCTTCCCCGTTCCACATTCACCGTCTTTATCACCCTTTTCCATCACACTTGTGTATATTGTTCCCTAATCATCCCCATCTTTATTGGTGTCTCCTACCACCACTATCATCAGCCGCACGCTATTCTGGTTTAATCATCATTCTCTCCATTTCTCATTATATTGTTTGGGCCTCAAACTGCCACGTCCTAAACCAATAATCATCCCCAGTATCTATATCTCACTTTATATCTAACTGCCTCTTTTGCGCCAAGCGTTATTTTGCTACAAGATATTTATCGCAGATTGTTAGCGCTGGGATTCTTATTCTTGCCATTATTTTGAAAGTTGGTGCTGTCTGAAGCCACACGATTCTTGTATTGATAAGTGCGTGTGTGCGTGTGTGCGTGTGCGTGTGTGTGTGTGTGTGTGTGTGTGTGTGTGTGTGTGTGTGTGTGTGTGTGTGTGTGTGTGTGTGTGTGTGTGTGTGTGTGTGCGCGTGTGTGTGTGTGTGCGTGTGTGTGTGTGCGTGTGTGTGTGTGTGTGTGTGTGTGTGTGTGCGCGTGTGTGTGTGTGTGTGTGTGTGTAGTTTTCCTGCCTGCCTCCCTCTCAGTTATCAAAATCTTCATCTTGGTCGTGATTCTCAGCCACTAACACATCAACACATTTTTGTTGATTACAATAATCACGCCTCAAACGCCTAGCTTGTTTAACTACTCGAATCAAGAACAGTCCGCCAGTTTCAGCGACTGGGCGCCTTTGCAATCTCTCCTGAGTTGCTTGCATTTAACGGAGCACAGTCCAAATGAACTTGTAAATTCCAGGTAAACCTCCAATGGGCCGTTTCTCTGCGTTAACGATAGCACCTGCTGTTTCTTCGTGGTGTAAACTCCAGTTCCGTTCGTGATACAAATTTGAGATATCTTCTTTCGTGATGTAAACTCCAGATAAATTGGTCTTTGAGTATCTTATGCCTGTGTGGTTAATAGTTATATTGGCAGAGAGACGCTTACGCCTCATGCGAGGCTGGCTAACATCAGAACTGCCTTTAGAGACTTGTATAAGCAATGTTGTTATAGATTCAGCTACTGGGAACAAAAAGTTCCAAGTAGCACGGGCTATGGTGAGCCCGTAGTGGACTTACCTGGCACAGGAGCGGGGCTGTAACTGTTGTGTGTGTATAAGCAATCATTCAGAACCTTATATACCACATATGTAAGGCCAGTCCTGGAGTATGCGGCCCCAGCATGGAGCCCGTACCTTCTCAAGCACAAGACGAAGCTATAAAAAGTTCAAAGCCGCTAGACTAGTCCTAGAACTAAGAGGTATGAGTTACTAGGAAAGGCCGCGTGAATTGCACCTCACGTTGCTGGAAGACAGAAGAGTTCGGGGATACGTGTTCACCACACATAAGATTCTTGGGGGAGTTGATAGGATAGATAAGGACATACGACGAATCACAATAACGTGGGTGAAGTACAATCGACTTGAGAATGGTCCAGGACGGACCGAAACGTCGTCGTCGTCCCTGCACCCTCTAGTGTGTGGTCTGGTCAACATAGATAAGGACAGATTACTTAGCACGGGTGATACACGCACAGGGAGAGACAGGTGGAAACTGAGTACCCAAATGAGCCACATAGACATTAGAAAGAACTTTATGCGTTAAGAGTAGTTAATAAATGGAATGCACGAGGAAGTGATGTGGTGGAGGCTAAATCTATACATTTTCAAATATAGAAATGATAGACCTCAATAAGCAGAGCTTATTGAGGTCTGGTGCTGTAGAGGAACTAACTCTGAGCCCCCCTCCCCCTCTAGTTCTTCAGAGAAACTAACTCTGCCCCTCCTAGTGCTGCCAGGGAACTTAACAGCGTGTGCTCTTGTGCTGCAGGTGGGTGATGCTGTGCGTGTCGTGGCTGCTGCGGGCCTGGCGGGGATGGAGCCACGAGCAGATCCTCCGACACTCCTCCTGGTTCCACGTGGCCGCTTGGGGAGTGCCCGCCGCTCAGGCCATCGTCTGCCTCGTCTTCAGGAAGGTCGACTCCGACGAGCTCACAGGTATGTGTCAGTTTGCTGGAGTAGAACTGGTTGGGCAATGTTGGCTGGAAAACTGAGAGGGGGGACGGAGGTCTGTTGGTGGGGTAAATGGGAAGGGATAAAGATTTGTTGGCGGGGAAAAGACGCCGTTAGGAGTCTGTTGGCGGGAAAAAGAAGACGTTAGAAGTCTGTTGGCGGGAAGGAAGGACGTGGGTAGGCCTCGACCAGGCCTCCACCCCCCCAGGAAGCAGCCCGTAGCAGCTGTTTAACTCCCAGGCACCTATTTACTGCTAGGTAACAGGGGCATCAGGGTGAAAGAAACTTTTGCCCATTTGTCTCCGCCTCCACTGGAGATTGTTGAAGTAGCCTAGTGAGAGGTTGGGAAGTCATGTGGGTTGACTGCTGGGTTGTGTTTGTCTTAGTCTTGGGGCTTCACCATCTTTACAATCTCTCATAACTAGTTATTAACTTATCCCCAAAAGATTTATACTCATTGATCACCTTGAACGATCTTATACGTCACATTTCGGAAACTTGTAATATATTAATATATACCAATTAGTTTCTACAATCACGATTGATAAATACTCAAATTAATTCAGTGGAGTCACTTCAGAAAGTATTTCAAATAATGTAGAGCTCGGCCACTAAGCTTCCCCTAGACCAAACAGGGCCAGGCAAGAATGTAAACAATGGCGTTAGTCACTTGTTTCCTCGCTATTCAACTCTATTGTCAGGAACCTCACGGGAGGAGAGTAAACACCCCTTCCTCCGACCCGTGTGATAACAACCTCTCCACTTGTGATGCAAACACCCCTGAAAGGCCATACTGTCAATACTAAGTCTTGTGTTTACCTCCACGTTGACCTTGTGTAAGGGGGAGGGGGGGGGGGGGAGGCGAGCCACCTGTCATTCATAGCCGTTACCTGTCATTCATTATTCATAAACTGACAGCGCGATGATCATAATATCTGCAGAAAACTGGCGTTAGTCACTGCCTTTCCCTAAACATTTTGTTTATTTAGCGAAGGAGGACTGGTGAGGGGGGGAAGGAGGGATGAAAATGGATTTGTGGGATAGTGCAGAATATGAACCAGTGAAGGTGCCGTAGGTACAATCAGAGAACACTGTATAAACATCAGAGGTCCACGGTTGTTCAACATCCCGTCAGTAAGTGTACAAATTATTGCCGGAACAAACGCGGACACGTGCAAGAAAATAATAGATTGGTCAGGCTGCATGAAGAGCCGGACCAATCGAATTGTAGTGGATATGTGGGCTTGCAGCCCGCTCCAAGCAACTGTTTGTTGGGAACAAGCCTTTCCCCAAGTCAAGTTTGACCCTAGATTGGGCTTGGGGAGTAGAACTCCCAGAATCCACTCCAAGTACAATCCAGGGAGTGGGGAGGAACTGGGGGAGTGTGAAGGAACGAGGAGGGGGGGATAGATTAGGGAGAGTGGGGAGAGTACTAGAGGGAGTGCATAAGGACTTTGGGGGGGGGGGAAGGGGGAGAGGTTCTACGGGGGTTGGGTCGGAGTGTGGGGAGGGACTAGGGGAGTGGGGAGTTACTAGGGTGTGTTGGGGAGGTACTAGGGGCAGGGGGCCATATAAAGTGTGTGCAGCCTAGCCCATCAGTCTTCCCACTGGTAAATCAAATACGAGAAGAGAAAACCCCACGAGAATGTACACAGTACCCAACCATTCCTCAGGGCACATTAAAAAGTGTTGTACATGTAGTGTTAGTACACATTTGTACACACGTACAAAATTCTTGAGTGCAATTGTGTACATGTGTTTCATACGGTATTTTTATGTTCTCGGGAACAAATATTAAAATTGACTAGGGGGAGGGGGTGGGGGCAGGGACTCTGACTTGGGAAAGTGGGGGGGGGGGGATTGGCCCGGGTTTCAGGGGGGGGGGCGAACTTGCCCAGTCTTGGCCAATGTTTAGGTTAGTAGACGCAAATATTTATCTCTGGATGCCAACTCACGAACGACGGAAAATATCCAGTGTGGTGTTGTTGCCACCTTCGTCCCCTCTATCCTAAACCCCAACTTATCCCCCCCTCCTCTTCCCCTACCCATCAACCCCCCCTCTCCTTCTCCCCTACCCACCAACCCCCCTCTCCTTCTCCCCTACCCACCAACCTCCCCCCCCCCACTCCCTGCTGCAGGCAACACCCACAACTTCTTCATGTAACTGAACAAATCCACAAGGGCCGTGACGAGGATTCGAACCTACGTCCGGGAGCATCCCAGACACTGCCTTAATCATCTTCATGTATTTTTATTTTTTCCATCTTCAAAAGTAGAAGAGAATTATCTGGCCAGATTTCAGTGTAAAGAGTCGTTAAATTCAATAATATACCAGGTAAATTGGTCAAAGATATAGTAGAGCTGTGATTTATTACACTATACAGGAAACGAGCGACCACAGCCTCTAATGTCGTAAATAATCCCACAAAAAACCAGTTTGAGGAGAAAATAGCTCAAGCGTCGAATTAGTTTTCAATTGTCTTTGTCGAGGTCAGATTAATTATTTACATAAATCCCTTACGAATAAAAATCAATCACTACGAGTTCTCGATATAAATAAGATATATGATATATATATTATTTACTACATGGTGAGGTCGGGAAAGGTACGAACCCAAGCATCCCACCTAACCCATCGTGGCATATGCATAGAAACGTCAATACACCAGTGGGTTAATTTTTACTAATACGTGGCATTTTTAACCGATTGGTTAATTCCGTTAAAATCTGTAGCATATCAGATGAGAGGACAGGTTGTTCCCAGGGTGAGGGCGGAACATAGCGCCCTTTACAGGTGCCTCCCACCATCCCACCTACAGCCCCGCTCCTGTGCCAGGTAAGTCCACTACGGGCTCACCATATCCCGTGCTACTTGGAACGTTTTATTCCCAGTAGGTGAATCTTAAACAACAACACCATCGCATTGTGTTTCAAAAGTAACCTCGAGTTCCTGAGCCCTGAGGTGAAACACACCCCTGGGGGGAGGGGAGGGTTATCTTGAGATGATTTCGGGGCTTTTAGTGTCCCCGCGGCCCGGTCCTCGACCAGGCCTCCACCCCCCAGGAAGCAGCCCGTGACAGCTGACTAACACCCAGGTACCTATTTTACTGCTAGGTAACAGGGTCTTCATACTTTTTTATTGATATATTTTGCATCAGATTTTTCTCTTATTATGTTCCCCCGTCATCAAGATGGCCCTACATGGGACACCTATGTTGGCACGGTATAGATCTTAGCTTTCCATGCCCAGAAAATGTCAATTTTACTGTACTTTAGTATCTTCTGAAACCCATTTTGATAGCTTGGTCAATTCCGTCAACAATAAAAGCAATATATTGAGAGGACAGATTGAGGTGTGGAGGTGCTGTGGTCAGCTGCCTACTCCGCCCAGTATCCGCCCTCCATCCCGGAACCCGTTCGACACCTCCCGTTGGGGCATTCCCTACAAGGTGACATCTATTGTCTACTTTGTGTTGGTTCTGGGGGATCAATGTCCCCGTTACCCCGGTCTCTGACCAGGTCTCCTGGTTAGTGGTCTGCTCAACCAGGCTATTAGACGCCGCTGTTCGCAGTCGGATGCACGAATCACAGCCTGGCTGATCAGGTAGCCTGTGGAGATGTTTATCAAGTTATCTTTTGAACACATGCCTACACGCAGTCTAAGTTCATCCGTCAATTATCTTCAGCTTTGGTAAGTGCCGTCAGTAACTAGTGCACTTGTTCAAGTGCACTAGTTACTTGCTCAAGTGCACATATGTTCAAGGACAGTCCTTGAACAAAGCCGCCAAAGATTGAGAAAAGATGTACACGTTCGTAAGTACTTGCGTAACTGCTTCGTGACTCTGGCCCCTGGTTATTGACGCTCCCTTAAGTAATAAAGGATGGCAAAATCCCTAATCACACAATTCATGGCTCTCAGGTCCTTTTCCATATTTAAATTAACAATTTTAATATAGTCTCGTTGGGATATGATACCCTTTTGTATTTGCCTGGGTTTAAAATTCAAATTTTCTCATCAGTAAATTTCGTCATTAACTGTCTTCTGATCTATTTCGGTGACTAAAAAAAGTCAAAGGAAAGAATTCATAACTGGTTGTCTAACTGAAATTGGTTGATTTTGTGGCTAACTAGCTGTAGCAGATAGACTGGCTGGCTATCTGACTGGCTTGAGCTGTTTGTTGCTAGGCTACACTGTGTGTGTGTGTGTGTGTGTGTGTGTGTGTGTGTGTGTGTATGTGTATGTGTATGTGTGTGTGTGTGTGTGTGTGTGTGTGTGTGTGTGTGTGTGTGTGTGTGTGTGTGTGTGTGTGTGTGTGTGTGTGTGTGTGTGTGTGTGTGTTTAGAGAGAGAGAGAGAGAGAGAGAGAGACTGGAACAGGATTGAAAAATAGAGAAACCATATTTGCCGTCAAAGGCTCATTTCCATAGTTCGTGAGGGAACACAATAATAATCCCCCATAACCCATCCACTTGGGGCAATGTTCCCGCCAAAACTCCCCCACCCCCCCCCCTCCCCCACCCCAACATATGACCTCCAACCCCCAACCAGGACCTGTGACCTCCACCCCGCCCTCCACCTAGCCGCCCACTCTCCACATAGCACCACAAGTCCTAACTCTCACCTCCTGATTATTGATAATTAAGGAGCGCGCCGGAGAAAGATAAAATTGCCTTCACATGTTTTGGTTAAAGAAGGAATGTCGGATTGTAAATTCCATGTTTGGAAGGCAGTTTTTTTTTTTTTTTTTTTTTACGACTTTTGGGTGTAATGAGCGTGAGCCACAGTGTACTCCCCTACTTGTGCCTGCAGGATCGAGCTCTAGCTCTTGGATCCCGCTTTTCTTAGCCATTAGTTGTCTAATGCAATGACTCCTGGCCTATTTCCCTATCATACCTGCTTTTAAAGTTTTGAATGGAGTTAGCCTCTACAATCTGCTCCTTTAGGTCATTCCATTTACTCATTACCCTTATGCTAAAAGAAAACTT